TATCTGTCATTTGTGTGTTTTTAGCTTTCTTCCTGTATGGGAAGCTTTTCAAAATTTGAAACATTAGTGCAGTGGTTTATGTTAAAATAAACCTTTGGGTTAAAGTTGTCGCAAGCAGGTTTTTCTTGTGTTTCTTGTGAATTTGGTCTTAAATTTTTATTTAAACTGGCATTAAAAAGTCTTAAAAAGTCTTGAATTTAACTTTCCTTATGTTGTAGGAACCCTGCCAATAAGGTTTCTTTGGCAGAGTAACGATTTTGGTTGATGGATAATTTTAGGGCTTCAGCATAGCTAAACGGGGAGCTCCTTTAGCACTTCAGGACAAGCGTTGGCTTTTGATCCGTCCACTTGATGCTTCATCCTGGCATCATTCAACAGAATTTAGGCACCAACATTCATGGAGCTAAAAACAGTGTTTGTTTTTCCCCAAAAATATGAAAATCTAAGCATTCTCAAACTTATTGCTGTTTCCATGGAAGAATTGTTATCACTAGACAGATATTAAGAGGTAGGATGTTGTCCATGTTCTTTTCCTGTGGTTCTGCAGCTTGATGTTGACGGATGCTGTGGCTCCAACATAAACCTTCCTGGCATGGTGCTCTTTATGTTTAGTATTTAATCAGTCAGATCAACGGCAGTGTTTCCATGAAGCTGTGTTGTGTCATTAGTTGCAGTAGGCCCCTCGGTTCATGATTAGTTTCAGATGTCGTGATGATTATTATCCTGATCCAGGGTTTTTAGCATTAGTTTAGGAAATGAGTGAATTTATTTTTATTCTATCACTTCCGATCATCAGGAAGATTTCTGCTTGGCTCACATTTTATTTACGTTAAACCAGTGGTTTCCACAGCACCGCTCCGTACCTCAGTGGACCTAAAACACTAAAAACATGTTGCTGTTTCCTTCACTGCATACATGGATTCTATAGAGCTTTGTTTTGGTCAGTAAAACCTCCGCAATAGCTATGAGATGATGGACTTTAGACTTACGGTAATTAGTCACTGTTAGGAAATGCCCTATGCCCTATGTGTGCTGCTGACATCATCCGAAGCATATGTATGTCTATGGTGGAGGCAAAGAGCAAAATAATCAATAGAAAGATACTAAGATGCAGATTTAGATGAGTTTAGTGGACATTTGATCCAGGGGACAGGAAATCGTGCTTGCAGCAGAATCTGGCAGTGATTCATAATGAGACCTGACCTCCTCCTTCCTGTCTTCCCATCAACAGCCTCCTCCTAAGATTCACAGATGACACGTTTGACCCGGAGCAATCAGCCACCATTGGTGAGTAAAGACAAAACATATAAAAATGATATAGAAATTGTCTTAAATCTAAATTCTTTTAGATAACTAAATGGTTTGATTGGTGAGAAATGCCAAAAGGATTCCTGTTTGTTATAACGGTGAAAAATTCAAATAAGTGGAATTTAGGCCCTTTAAACTCAGTAGGAAAGCCTAGCTGTTTAAGCCTCTGATAGGTTGACTTTATCATTAGTTAACCGCATTTATAATTATATATGTAAGGCAGTTTTAAAGTACAGTGTGTAATATTTGGAATAGTAGCCTTTCAAAATGTCCCCACTTTCCTTGATTCGTCCTTGTCAGTCCCCTTCATTTCCTTTTTAAACACCTAAAATACTCTTTCTGTCATGATTTGTGGACATTAAGATCTAAAGAGAAGCGTCATCTCCTGGTCAGACCCTGTAATTCAGTGGAAGGGTGGAGTCGGAGTAAAAAAATATGCACGCCCAGAGAAGGCCAGTGGCTGGAAGTTGGAGGGGATTTTGCTGCCATTCCGCTGGCTTTTGACTTGGAATGGCCATTTTGAACGGCTGCTACTGTACAGGGATTTACTGGTATATAGAATCTATATTTATTTTATTATCACCTATGAACTGAGAGTCTCAATATTTGTTTGCCTTGCCTCAGAAATTTATATTTATACCTGTATAGGAGTGGGTTTCCATTTGTGGAGGGGGGCATCTTTCATTGCTACGGCAGACCAGAGCTGACAAACTAGGGGCTATAGAGATCGCCATTACGGAAAGTTAGGCCCATATCCAATCCTACACAGAGTGATAAAATACTACTTCTAAAAATATCTATTTAGACTAGACTTACATCGGCTACGACCCTCAACGGCCCGGTTATTATGAAGGTGACAGATTTCAAGTGCCAGTTTACACTTTTTTTGTTGTTGTTGTTTTCCATGAGGACCCGCATCTTCCCCCTGCCCTCGCTCCATGGTTATTTTGGTTAGAGTGCCTAAACAGGGGGACAAATAGTGTGTGGCGGTGGATTCATACTTGGATGAGATCCCAATACTGTGTGGGAATGACCTTAAATCGGAGGTCTTAAACAGGGCGGTTGCAGAAGTTTTTTTTTTAAATATTCCCCCTGCTATTTTTTTCAACTAATTGAAATGTCTTTAAATCCACATTAACATGAATCCAACAGACTGTAGTAAACAGATAAATGGAGGCAGAAGATGTCTTTCATTCATCAATGCACACATTCAGCGACACACAGGAGCTCTTTCAAGCTGGGCACCGTTTCATTCACAACACCTGTCCCATCAATGAGGAATCAGAAATACTTTAATAATCCCAGGGAGAAATTGCTTTCGTTACATTACTCCATCTGTAATATAGTGACTATAGGACCGGTTTGATGTAACACAATTTAATACAATATATGTTCTTAAGGGGTGCCCACACCATCTCGCCATCAGTTTCAGGGTCCCCTGCCTTAAATTATTCAATTCAGAAAGGAGATGTTTTCTGCAGTGATTTTTGGTTTACTCGAATTACTAAACTTGTTCCATATTTTTTAGCTGTATTTAGATTGTAACTGGGCTGTATGCAAATCTATACGGAACCACCAAAAGCCTTATTGTATGTCTCATTGGGAGGCGAATGACTCTGTAACGAAGACTATGTAACCTAACGAGTAACTCCTCTCTCAGACCACAGCACATGTAGGTTTATTTGTGTTTGTGCTGCTGGTTCGCTGACAGATGAACCTTCAACAGCGTTATGCTTGGGTTTCACTGAAAGCGTTTTTGCTGCGGATTCTGCCAAGCACCCTATTCCATCAGGCTAGGGATCAGAGTTGGATTTTTACTCTGATCACGTGAGGATTTTATCATAGTGCAGCAGTAACTACTACATACTACAACGCGGCACCGAGGGGCCCTGAAGGACCACATGGGATGCCCTTATAGAACAACTCACTAGTACTCCTGTTTTTTAATCTTTTATAGAGCATTAGACATTGTTTCAAATAAAATTAGAAATGAAAATATATTTATAATGTACAAAGTTTAGGTGAACACTGACCCTTGTAGTTAATTGGTCAGTATTGGTCACCCTTCCTATGACTCGGTACCCTTGAATTGGCCCTGAGCCTTAAAAATGTTGGTGACCCCTGATGTAGACTTTAAATAAAGTGGTCATTTGGCCAATACAACCGGTATCTGGTATGGCTGCTCTCTATCTGGTCACCTTACCTTTCTGCCACAGCAGGTAATGTTGTTTTGATGTTTTGGAGTGAAATGCGATCCACAGTCTGCCCATGGATTATTAAACTCCACCAGAACCACTTTGCTTTTTACAGGATTCCTGCGGGTCCTTAAAAAGTCTTAAAAGGCATTGAATTCTTCAAAATAAAATCAAGGCCTTAATTGGTATTGAAATGTCTTAAATTAGTCTTTTGTAGGTCTTATTTTTTAAAACATCATAAATAGGATTATTTTTATTTTTGTAATCTAAATAAAACATTAAAATTGAAAAAAAAAAAATTATATAGCGGAACCAATAAAAGCGTTGTTGCGGCCGGGACATTTGGGAGATGCACCATTAACTTTTTGTCTGGAAAATATGAGCAAGTGTAAATGTAACCAAAATTGTCTCCAGCCAAGAGTTTTCTCCATGGCTAAAACCAGGGAACATACATGAGGCTCAGTGGATTTTGTGCAAGAAGCGATTAAAGCTCGGAACGATGGGAATTAAGGCAGTGGAGTCGCACAGGCGAAGCGCGAACACAAAGCGTCAAAATCAAGTTACGGAGAAACAGCCGGTATTTCTCAGTTTAGTTCCACCCTTGTCTCTGCAACGCCTCCACTTATCACCAAATCAAACATACTAAGAAAACCATACAAAGAAAAATAGCTGCAAAAAAGACTTAGCACTGGTTATGTTGTGGCTTTAAAACTGATTTGTTTTGTTCCCTGCTAAAACAAAGTTTGTGAATTCAGTTAAATAATTGTTAAAATATATCTGTCATTTGTGTGTTTTTAGCTTTCTTCCTATATGTGAAGCTTTTCAAAAATGTAAACATTAGTGCAGTGGTTTATGCTAAAATAAACCTTTGGGTTAAGTTGTCGCAAGCAGGTTTTTCTTGTGTTTCTTGTAAATTTGGTCTTAAATTTTTATTTCAAGTGGCATTAAAAAGTCTTAAAAAGTCTTGAATTTAACTTGTCTTATGCTGTAGGAACCCTGTTTTAGCAAATGACCTTCTGCCTGAACGATTTGCTCTATTCTAAATTGTGAAGGACTTAAAGCATCAAGCCTGAAAACTTGAACAGTCGCGTATTTTTGGAGAAGCGTCCAGCTGGGAACACTTCCGGGACGCTTCGCGTTCGCACAGGATGATATCATTCTGACTAGCTGCGATCAACGGATGATCCACAATGTTAAAGCATTATGGCTGATTTATACTTCCAAACTAGGCCGTCTGGTAGGTGACACGGTGAACGCAGAGACGTCCCCGCAGATAGCAGACAGAAGGCCTCTGATTGGTCAAATCTACATCCGCTCTACACTATGCGTGTTTTCCTACCTTACCAGCTTGTTTTGTTTCCTCAGTAAATTGACCAGAGTGTCTCAGAGTCGGAACAAACACACCCAAAGGGGGGTGGTGGGCTTAGTCATTCACATTAGAGAGGGAAGCATGGTATGTTCTTGCTGATTGTTTCCACAGGTTTCTTTCTGTGGCCGTTTTCAGTTCAGGCTCACATGTTTCTCAGCTTAACACATGAAAACCACAGCGTCCCCTTAGCGATGCATTCGGATGCGCGGCCACAGCCTTGTTCATCTACTGGACCTGAGCCGGACCTGACGTCCGCTTTAGCAGGAGCTCAGAGGCAGTTTGTGGTTCTGTGTGTTTTGACAATTCATCAGCAATAATTGGTCTGGCTGCCTGATATGATATTCTTGGCAGTAACTGAGCCAACCTGTGCGAGTCATCATCCTCGGAGCGAAGAATGAGGTAATGGTGGCGCTCTGACCGACTGTCTTGAATTGTTTTTGTTGTCCAGGTGTCGATTTCAAGGTGAAGACCTTATCTGTGGATGGTAACAAGGCAAAGCTGGCAATCTGGGTGAGTTTAAATACATTTAAAGATCATTTGGTTCTTTTATATATAGGGAACAAACCAAAGCCTGTGTGGTTGTTGTTCTTCCAAGTTGCCACAAGATGGCGATTGTGTATCAGGAATGAGTTTGTTCTCATAATGTCTGGAAGGACTTTTAACCCTAAGTGATTGTCTTATCTTTTTTCTTTTTTTACAGGACACTGCTGGCCAGGAGCGCTTTCGAACCCTGACACCAAGTTATTACCGTGGAGCCCAGGGAGTCATCCTGGGTAAGGAAATCTTTTAATAAACTCATGACTTTCTAAAGTCTTTACGAAGAGCTTTAGTTCCAGTCAGTAATTTTTTCATTTCAAATAATAATAATGAGAAACGTCTACTTCTGCTTTTTCTATATTAAAGACACAACATACTCAAAATGTGCATACTGTTTAATGGTTGAATAGATAGAATAAATCTACATAATCTCATTTTATAAAGTTTTCATTCAAAGGAAGGGCACAAAAAAATAGCTTTATATACATTAGGGCTGCAAATAATGATTATTTTGCAAATCAATTAATCTGTCGATAATTTTTTTTTTTTTTTTTGATTAATCGTTTAATAACTAGATAGCCAAAGGTTTGTTTAAGAAGATTTTTTTTTTCACAGAATTAAACCAGGTGTATATAAACATTTACCAAAATTCTTCATAGAGCATATTGACAGATTTTTATTTTTTTTTTTATCTTAAATGCAAAATGATTATATATATTTTTTTCACATTTTTGGTATAATTACTGACTCTAAGTGGATTGTTCAGTCAGTTAAAGCAGGGTTCCCACGGGTCCTTAAAAAGTCTTAAAAGGCATTGAATTCTTCAAAATAAAACTAAGGCCTTAAAGGAATAGTACACCTAAAACATGATTAGCCTTCATTTTCTACTCACCCCCATGCTGAACAACACTCTGGAGTACTTTTTTGATATCTCAAATGTATCTGGAGATCTGGGAGG